TACTCTAAACTCGCATCGAGTCAGGTTTCAGATAGAAATATAAAATTTTTGGACCGAGTTGACCGAAAACCCGACCAATATTCATCCCTAGATAAAGTACTGTAAAAAAATGTAGAAGAAAAGCGATGCAAGAAAACAGAGCAAGAAACTAGGATTTTTCATTTGTAATTATTGGTATTTCTTTATATAAAGGAAAACATCCATCTAAAAAAATATATATAAAAAATTAAATTCTATGATTAGTTCTTTTATTATGTATAAATTATAGGTTCAATTTATGTTCTTAAATTTGATAAAAAAAAACATTTATGTTCTTTTTAAAATTTGAAATCGTAATCGTAATTCAAAAGTTAATTCTGAAGTTTGTTAAAATAAATCATGCCATTAATCTCTAATTATAGTTGATTATAAATTTAATTGACATTTTTATTTCTCTAGTAATTTTGAACCATACAATTTGATTACATTATGTTTGCATTCACCGACTATAATAGAAAAGGGGGAGCGCTGTAATAACTAGCTTGTCAGGGGTCTAGAGCCCTTGGCAGAGGGACCCCTGTATAACATGGCTAAACCCTAAACCTAATTTGGGCCCTACACTAGGATCGTCAATAATAATGTATGACATAATTGCCATTGTATTGATTTCAACTAATAATAAAACTATATCCACAAACTCAATCAAATGTCTCATTATCCCCCTTAGAAAAGTTGAAACATTTACATAATTCTAAATCCCCATCCTTCACTCTAATTAATTCTCACGCCGTTTTATAGGCAATCAATGATGGATTAAAGGATTCGAAGATAATTATATTATCTTCTAACATAAAATTTTACATTGATTCTTATATAAATTTCATTCTCTTACTTATAATAAAATTATCCGTGTGCTCATTAAATATTGTTGAATAAATTATTTTTTAATTATATTATAATTAATAAATTCTATTGAATTACGTATAATTAAAGCACATCAATTATGTGTATGAATCATACCATCTTATTGGCTAAAGAGATGATTGTTATTTTTAAGGATTATAGGTTTGAGCACCAAAGGTTGTAAAAAATTTGAGCTTCTATTGTCAAGTGGTTAAGGAGGGACGGAGCTAGAAAGATTATTTTAGGTGTCAAATTTAAAGAAAATTCATTGAGGTGTCAAATTTAGAAATTACATGAAGAATTTTTTTAAGTGGATGAAAATGATTAATGGATGTGAATTTTTGTCTAAAGATGTTAATATTATTTTAAAAAGATGTTAATTTAATCTTTTAAAAATTATTTTTATATTAAATTTTAAAAAATAAAAAAAATTGGACCCTTGCCGGTATTGATAAAGTGTATATAGAATATATATTACCACTTATAATTATCATAGATCAGTAAAAAACATATAAATTATATTTTGTAATTCTTAATGACAAAATGATAAGTAATTGTATTTTTTAAAAAAGAATTTTCTGTGTTAAAACATAACAGGACATCATACTTAATACATAAAAGAGAATTTACTAAAATAAAAGAAAAATGGATGGTTTGTTTTTAATGCATTTTTAAAATGTCAGTTGTCTTAAATTTATTAAAAGAAATATTATTTTTTAAATATTTTGAGTTTAAATAATGATATCTTTAAATTAAGTACACATTATTAATAATTTAAAAAATTATAAATATATATTATCGTACCATTACTTTAAATTATTTAAAAAAGAAAACTACCAGTTGTGTTTCCAAGCATAAACCAAGAGATTCAAGCATGGATGATGGAACCATGATTTTTGTTCAGTTCATGAATCACAACTGCAAGCAAACAACCTGAACCTATGAAATCTTTATGAAATTAAATATTGTTTTGACTAAATTAAGTGTTTAGTACTTAAACTACTAGTTTTTATCTATTTTAGTATCTAAACTTTTAATGTTTTCAAAATCATACCTAATATTTAGTTTTCATTTCGCTTTAGTACCTTACCGTTAAAAATTTAACGGATGATTTGTAAGGGACAACTTTTTTAATGAGTAAATTACATAATTTGTCACTAAACTATCTTCTCAATCCTATTTTAGTCACTAAAGTTTAATTTTTTTAAAATTTAGTTACTTAATTTTCAAATCACTACTAATTTAATCAGTCTAACTTTCAATTTTTTTAATTTTTAATTATATATTCATAAAATAATAATAAAAATGTCATGTCATAAAAAATTTAATAAAATAAATTACAGTGATTAAAATAGGAGCAATTTGAAAGTTGAGTAGTTAAATTGAAAATTTTTAAACTTTAGTACGAAAATAGAAGTGATAAGATAGTTGAGGAATGAATGATATAATTTACTCATAAAAATGGAGTACCATTAAGTTTTAACGGGATGTATTAAAATGAAACAAAAACAAAATATTATGATAGTTTAAAAATTTAAAGTTTAATTATTAAAATAGACCAAAATTAATAGTTTAATAAATGTGTATTATTTTTAGGAAAAAACATTGAAGGGAGATTATTCCGAAACGATATAAAGAATACCACAAACTAAAAAAATAACATTGGTTTTATTAGGGTAAAATATATAAATTAGTCCCTGATTATAGGTACGGCTTGATTAAATCTCTCGATTATTAAAAATTACAAAATGATCTTTCAACTATAAAGTAGTATCTTGTTGAGTCATTTGACTATTAAAGTTATAAAATGATTACGTGACTATTCATTATATTCTAAACTTGTCCTTTTTAAATAAAAAATTGAAGATATTCTGAGCTGAATGTTAACTTGTTGACCGCGATGTGATAAAATTTTATCTCAAAATCTCAAACGACTATTATATCTAGCCATCATGTTAATGTTCATCTTTGACAATCGTTAATTTTTAATGGAAAATGACGAGTTTGAATATAATGAATAGTTTGATGACCATTTTATAACTTTCAATAGTTAAAGGACTTAACAAAATAACATTCTATAATCGAAGAAGTGTTTTATAACTTTTAATAATTAAAATTTTTAATAAAACAAAATTTTATAATTGAGAGATGATTCATTCATGTACTTTACCTTATTTATTATGAATTTACCGGTCAACTTTAGTTTTAATTTAAAAAAATGATCAAATAAAGTAATAGTTTATTAGGTGTTTGGGTTAACAAGGACGGAAGATTCCACTTCAAGTGGAAAGAGGTTCCATGACACTGCATGTGATATTCTGTGAAAATAGTCACTGCAAAAAGGTTGTGATTGTGCTCCATGTCTGAGTGTTTTTTTTTTAATTATCTTATATACTTAGAAAATAGTATGCTTAAATATTTTTTTAACTTATTAAAAATTCAAGATCTCCAAAGAAAATAATTATTCGTTTGATTATGAAAAATATTTTTGGGTTTTTATTTTTGTTTTCAGAAAATAGTTTTCATTTTCATTTTTATTTTTTTTGAAAATTAAAACCATGTTCGGTTAATATAAATGAAAAGTTGAATTTAAAAATAAAAATAGTAAAAATATATTTGGTATCTAATTTTTAAAAATAGAGGTGACAAATAGTTATTAAATAATTAAATTAAAATATAATTATTAAATATTTTCATTACATAAGTTGAACACGTGTTATACAAATATAAAATAATAAAATTGATAAATAATTTCATAAAAAATATTTTAGTTTATAACAAGAATATAATGTTAATACATATTGGACATTAATTAATTTAAAAAATACACAAAAATATTATTATCAACAAAACATACAAAAGTGTCATTAAAATAAAAATATATATTTAATTAAAATTTAAGGCTCTTAAAGTTTTGAAGAAAAACTAATGTAGTCTTTGATTTTTTTTGCACAAATGTGACCCTTAATCTGAGAAAAATCAATCTAACCTTTGATCAACAGGATCAAACATTGATTGTCACGACGCTTATATAACAGTTCACAAAGTTTATATGGTAATCTATAATATTAATGTGATCATTCGTGACGTTGTTGTGACAATATACGATGGATGCTGGTGTGATATATCGATTTAATTGATTTTTTTTGGCTAAATGCAAGGGTATTATTTATTTTCTAGAAAATTTGAGAACTTATTTAATTTTTTTAAAAATAAGAAATTATTAAAATATAAAATATAAATAATTATTAAGATATTCAATACATAAATATAAAAATATTACAAAATTGAATTATTAAAAAATTCAATTTAAGGACCATATTGAGTATAAAAAAAGTTTGAGGGTTTTTGATACCATTAAGTCAAAAAAATATTGTTAGAAGGATCTGAATCCATGTAAGATAAGTTAAATATCTAGATACAGTGTTTCCTATTTTTTGAATTTTCAAAACAATTTTAATGAAAATAGTGAAAACATTGTTTCCATATTTTCATTTTTCAGAAATCATTTTTTTCATTTTACAGCCAAACACATTTTCTTTAACGTTTTCTATATTCTAAGAAAATAAAAATAGTTTATATTTTTTATAAGCAAACATACCCTAATATTTTCCTTTTATTATTGAGATTATGCAATGAATTGTTGTCTAAACTTTATTTATATCAGAATCAAATCATAGGACCAAACTATTCATTGTTTTGGGAGCCCCTTAATTGTTTTATCATTAAAAAATATATAAGAATAAATATTCATTTAGACCTTTAAATTTTAATTTATTTTGATTTTTTTATTTATTTTTTATTGTTAATTATATTTTGTCTCATTGAACTAGAATTCTGACTTTATTTCTATCAAGTCATCATTTTTTAATTACAGAGATAAACATAATTTTATGTTAAAAGACAAAAGAAAAACTTATAAATTTGTATTATCATAAAAGTAAATGGTCAGTAAAATATTGAGAAACGCCTCCACCTAACCCGCTTCTATCCATCCCTGTTATGCACCACCACCATTTGCATTGAAAACCCTTCTTAAGTGTGAAAACTGGAAAGCGGAATAACAAATATGGTAGAGAACAAGTATCATTTCTAACATTTACAAACAAAAACACAGCACAGGTCCCTTTCTTTTCCATGTGGAATGAGATTTTGAACCTCTATTCCGGTGATGTACATCTCCTCTCAACCTATTTATTTAGCCCCAAAAATAAATAATAATGAAAACGAACATGTAAAATTCCACTGTCTATATCTATATGCTACAACCCCACCAATGAGTGTACTCGCCTTTAAACATGCGCCGTTTCGTATGACAATTGGTTTTGCTTTTGACATTGACATCATTCACACGAGCCCATGGAAACCGGTCCGCCGGCTACCATTTCATACTCACCCACTTCATCTTCGCCCTCTTCCTCGTCTTGGTGCTGATCGCTTTCCAAGTCTTCCATTGTGTGATCACGAGGAGGAGGAGGGGGCCATTGCTGCTCGGGGCGTACTCTCAAAGGGACTGAGTTATCGGGTTTTGATTGATTGGAGGAGCTGTCGTGTTTGTTCTTTTCTCTGTATAAGGCATCAAGTTGGTGAAAGTAGGGACATGTTTTGGAATCCTCCACCCTTTTCTTCTGGTTATCTTTTACCTTCTTGAAGTACTTGTTTATGTTCTCCCATTTCTCTTTGCATCGTTTGGCGTTGCGATTGTAACCCAGCCTTTTCATCGCACCTGATATCTCCTCCCATAATGGTCCTTTTGGACCACTGTCGTGGTATTTATTGTCCAGCGTACTCCTTACCTCAATCAATGCTTGAACCTCCTCTTTAGGCCATCTCGATGATGAGCTGATCCGTGTGTAACTTTGATCCCCATTTTCCGCCTTTGGTATCTCTTGCGGTGGTAGTGGTGCAGGCTGTGGAGCAGGTGCTGCTGCTGGTGCCGCCGCTGTTACAGGTGGTTGCGGTTGCTGAGGCGGCGGGGAATTGTTTTGTGTCTGCCCCGGATTTTGTTGGTCGGATAATTTTTGCAAGAACGCCATTAGAGCTGCATCCTTTGCTGCTGCTATTGATCTTTCTTGGGCTAACAATTCGCGTTCTCTGTTGATTCTGGCTATCTCTTGGGTTCGCCTAGCATCTTCACGGACCATTCTTTCTTGCTCGCGTTTCTCTAATGCTTCCAAGAATTTCTTCTGCATCTCCTCCTGCTCTTGGACCACCTGCTTCATTAGCCTCTCGAAAAAGGCCGTCCACTTCCGCTTCCTCTTCCTCCTCCGACCTTCCGATTCTAAATCCGACGAGGTGGATGAGGAGGTTGAATCCAACATCAGATCTGAGGAGACGTTAGGGTTTGCACTTGTCGGTACAATGTTTTGAGTCAAACTGGGGAGTAATGTTGTTGCTGATGGAACAGTGACATTATTAGGCTGAGTCGCAGGATTATTAGCCACTGCCATTGTCGTCAGAGGCTGAGCTTGAGGCTTCAGTTGCGGCGGCGCTTTTGCTGGGGACTGAACGGAAAATTGGGTTTCGAGGGCTAGAAGTTGATCAGAGAAACGATAAGCCTTGCCATCTGATTTACCAGTTCGGCCATCTTTGGTTCTCTTGTGATACTTGAAAAGGTTCTCGAATTTCTCCTTGCATTTTTTGGCACTTCGATGATACCTAAGCTCTGCTAGTTTCCTGATATCGACATTAGAGAAAAACTATATAACCCAATAAAACAAACCCAAACACTGATTTGCACATAAAATAAACCATGAAATGAAATTTAAATCTAATTCAGAAAATAAAATTTTAATAGAAGATGCTTAATTTATGAGCAAAATCCAGCTTAAGATTCCCTGAGAAAATATTGGGAGAAGCAAAATGTCAGAATCGATAACAAATCCCATACCCCCAAGTATCCAAATATCTTAATCATATGGGCATTGAAGATGCTTAAATTCTCTCAACTTCAAAAGAATATAATTCGACAACACAGATCTCCGCTCGTTATACTTTAACCAACTTCAAATTTCCTTTAAATTATCAAAATAATAATCACCTGGAAACCTCTTCCCATAATGGACCCTTGACGCTGGCGTCACGAAAAGTAACATCCATGTCCGACCTTATCTTCAAGAGTGCCAAAGTTTCTTGCCTCGGCCACCGGTTGCCGCCGAAAAAACTCTCACCTTCCTGAACCCTAACTCTCTCATCATCGCCCGAATAGCTATTATTGCCGTTGGAGCCAAACATGTTGCCCGCTACCCCAAAACCTCTGCCTTCACTGCTTCCATCACGAGCTCCACCGCTGCTAACCACGGAAACCGCGGCGGGGACGTTTCCATCAGTGTTTTCGCCGCCGCTCCCAATAACAGTAGCAATTGTCTCTCCACCACCCAGCATATATGATCTTGTAGATACGACAACTTTCTTCCTTTCCTTCACTTCTTTGGCACCCCCGTTGGCAAGAGCTTGCGATTTACTTGCAGCTTTCAATGAATAAATGGAAAAAAATAAAAATTTAAATATTTTTAACTTTGTATGTCTCTATTCCAATGATCCTATCTCTATGAACAGAGAAGAGAAATTGGCGAATTATTTTATTCAAAGAAGATGGGTTTGTAATTTGTATATGGTTAATTTATTAGTAATTTATTTTTGTTTGTGGGATCTTATTGTCAATCTCAATATTTTTTATTTTATTTTTTAAACGTCAGTTTGTAAAAGAAAAAAAGTACAGAGTGGCATGGGTATTAAACATTTTACATATATTTTTTAAAGTATACATCATATATTAAATTATCATTTTTTTAATTTGTTTCTCTAGTAATTATTGTGTTTTTTGACACACAAAAAATCAACCTATTAAAAAAATACTACCTATCAAACACTCTTTCTTAATTATTTTCTGATCTAACACATTTTTCAGGAGAAAGGAGGAGGCGCACGACAAGAGATGTGCCTCACCCGAATGGAGGGAAGGCGTGTCGCATGAAACACACCTTCCATGGGTTTTATGAATGGCGTATCCTAGGGAACGCGACTCCCTTGAATGGCGCATTGTAGGGAACAAACCTCCCATGCCCATCGGTTTTATGTTTAGGATTTTATGTTAAAGTAATTTTAGGGTTTTGTAATTGTTTTTAAGAGTTTTTAGTGGTTTAGGGTGTTATATTTGTATGATTTAAGGTTTTTAAAGAAGTTTAAGGTTAAAATAGATTGTATGTTAGAATGTTTGTGTTTTTAAAGTAGGGTATAGGGTTTTTAAAGAAGTTTAAGGCTAAAATTGATTGTATGTTAGAATATTTGTGTTTTTAAAGTAGGGTTTAGGGTTAAAGTTGATTGCATGTTAGATTGTAAGAAATAAACGTTAAACATTTAATTGGAAAAAATATATAGATATACGAAAGGGTCATCTTGTAAAATAAACAAGCTGAAAATCACATTAATTGAAACTAAAATAAAATGAAATAACATAAGTTGAAACATTAGAGAATATGATTACATGAGTGGTGGTTAACGATTACGTGATGATGAAAGAGATAAATAATTTCTCCTATTGTGGTCAGGGTTTCTGCAATGGTTACATCTTAAGTTTTTTCTTGATGTCTCTCGAATATCCATATCACAATGAATTCGAGTGGATTTTAGACGACTTGACTCCTTTAATAAGTCTATATCTGGTATAATTAAAAGCTAAGTCTGAACCTCATTTGGGTTTTTGTCATTACCTATGGGGGAAACTCATATTCTTATACCTTGAATACTTGTGAAAGTTGGTATACGGGATCCACAAAACGCTTATAGTCTTGACTAGAAAATGAGAAAACTGATATGACATGAGAGCATGGATACTTCAAAGCTTGAAAAAACCCACAATCATAACATCTATCTCATAGATTAACTATGAAAGAGTTAGATTCAATCCCTTGCATAGGTCGTGGCATTCTGTGACAAAAATAATTATTAGGTGCGAGAAAAACTTATTACAGATGTGTTGTTTGATGCTGCAACCTTTTGTTGCAGGTCTGCTACTAATCGTGGGTGATAAACATAACCATTTTGTATTCCAAATAAGATCTTGTCCCTCGAGCTTGGAAAAATTGACCCAAACGATAATACTTCATTTTAGCAAAAACAATTACTGGTAAATGACGGGCCCCCTTTAAGGTTGAATTGATTATCTCAACCAAATTGGTTATCATATATCCATATCGATATCCATTATCGTATGTGTATGTCCACTTTTCTTTGTTGATTTCACTAATGTAATCATGTCCATGTTCATATTTCCTCACAGTTCTTGAATCATAAACTCAAATGTTTGAGGTGAGAGTTCGTAACCTAAGCGAAATGAAGTAGTTAGTATAAAATAATGAAAATGAGTGAAAAATAAAATTGTGAAAATTGTAACATACCCATGCGTATAATTAATTGTCGTTCATCATTCTTCTTATATCTTCCATGATAGTTTGCATCAATATGTCGGATACAGAGATGATGTTAGACCTATGGGGGTTTCCATATTGGATCCAAAGAGTCCATTGTTACTTTGATCCCAGCTCCTCATTCAGAAATGATATAAATATGTTGCCTTGTGATAACATGTAACTGTAGATTTCTCAAGAAAGTAGCCCAAGACTCTGTATCTTCTCCTTAACTAGGGAGAAAACAACAAGAAGAATGTTGTGATTACTATTTTGGAAAACTGTCAATAATAAAACTTGCTTGTATTTTCTATACAAGAATGTACCATCAATTTGGACAACTTGTTTACACCATTTCATTGCATTAATGCATTATGGGTAAGTCCAAAAAATGCGGTAGAACGATCTCAAAGAAATCGATCATTATGGTAGGCATGGCGAGTTTCAAGCTCAACTACTATCCTAGGATTCAGTCGTTGAACCAGGTTAAACCAACTGGGTAGTTCATTGTAAGATGAATCCCATTCGCAGTGTAGTTTTATAATGGCATTTTGTTTAGCCTTCCATTTTTTTTGTAGGAGACAGTGTACCCATATTGAGATTGTATTGCAGAAATCAACAATGCAATATGTATGTGAGAGATTGCTCTGACTAAGGGCATGATGGCTTGGTAAATCACGTTGGAGTCCAAGTTTGGATGATCCTAGTTGATCCCCTGTGCACATGTATGGGGATCACTGTATTTTGTTAGTTCCCATATATTGATCTTCTTTTTCTTTGAAACATGAACAATCCATTTGCAATCGTTATCACGTTGGACAAAATAACAAACATACTTTTCGGTGGTAGATCAGTCGACTCTAGACTAAACTGAATTACGAATATTGTAATTCTTAATTGCCATCATTGTTTCTTCTTTAGATGTGAACTTCATTCCACGTTATAAATCACCATAATTAACTGATGAATGTCTCTCATAGTCTTCAAAATGATGCATATTAGGAAATTATGCCCCGTACATCGCATCATAGTCAGCTTCATACATGTGTGCTGGAGGTTCGTATTATACTATATTTGTAGGAACTTCATCCGCATCATCAACAGAGTTCATGCTAAACTCCATTCTATGATATAAATCACCATCATTAACTGATGAATGTCTCCCATAGTCTCTAAGATGAGGCATATTAGGAAATTATGCCCTATACATCGAATCATAGTCAACTTCATACATGTGTGCTAGAGGTTCGTATTGTACCATATTTGTAGGAACTTCATCCGCATCATCATCAAAGTTCATGCTGAATTGTAGTGATTCGGGTTCAATAAATAATCCAATTTCAGCACCTGACTCACGAAGAGGTTATTCTGTGACTCTGATGTTTAATTCGAACAAGTTCACAAATGAATATATTCATTTGGAACTTGAAGGAATGCCACCATATGAGTTATGAATTGAGTGTTGTGTGGAAGAAATTTCCATATTGGGGTCGAAGGTGTTAGCACATGAATGTTTCCTCCTGGAACTGGAAGGAATATCCATATTGAGGTAAAAAAAAATGGCAGATGAATGCCTTTCCCCTGGAACTTGATGGTATGCTAACAGGAGGTGGGTTAGCCATTAATGACGTAAAATCAATACAAATTGTTTGAGTTGGACTGTCAACTTGATCAACTAGTTCAGACAAGCCATAGTAGAAGGATAAGGACATACCCCGAACTAAATACATGTCAACAAACGTGGCATACATTTTTGTAATATAGTTTAAATTTTAACTAGAAGCACCAACTATCATAGTAACATCATTGTCATTTAAGAGATTGAACGATGTATATGTTAACGAAAAAATTTCAGTAAGAAATTTGTACTGAAGTGTAACTAGTCTTCTACTGTTTTCAACACGAGCCTTTATTGATATTTTTGTGATTAAATCATGAAGAGTGATATTTCTCCTAAAGGAAAGAAGGATATAATCATCTGATCGGAAAAAAACTCCGTATTCATCTTCCCCAATTTCTTCATCATAGTAAACAACAACTAAAATATGAGTCATTTTCTTAGTTTGAGAGTTTCAAAGTTTGAACGTTTGAATGTTTGAGATTTCAAAGATACATATTTTTAGAATTTAAGAGTTTAAGATATTGAGGGTCAGGGAACAATTCATGTCAATTATGTCAAATGGAAGAAATTCTTTGAATAATAATGGAAAACGCTTCCCCTGGAACGCACCTTTCATTTCGGATATGATGAAACACTATGACATAACAGAGATTCTCTTAATAATCATGGAAAACACTTCCCATGGAACACACCTTTCATTTTGGATGAGATTGAACATTATGACATGGTAGAGATTCTCTGAATAATAATGGAAAATGCTCCACTGGAAAGCATCTTTTATTTTGGATGGGATTGAACACTATGACATGGTAGAGATTCTCTGAATAATAATAGAAAATGCTTCCCGTGGAATGCGCCTTTCATTTCGAATGGGATGGAACACTATGATATGACAGAGATTCTCTGAATAATAATGGAAAATGCTTCCCTAGAATGCATCTTTCATTTCGGATGGGATGAAACACTATGACATGACAGAGATTCTCTAAAAATGGGGAAAACACTTCCATTGAAACACACATTTCTTTTTCTTTAGATTTTATCTTATCCAGCTTCAAGCACTATATATATGAGAGATGAAGCAAGTGGTCCTCAGTACTTTTCCTTCTGTGTATCTTTCTGATTATGTTATCTATCATTTTCATAGACTTTTCCATCGTTTTTAATGACAACTAAATATTCATTATATTATCTCCCAAATGATATATTAGCTGAGATTTTACGTTGTACTTATTCTAATTCTATTAAGGACTTTATCCACCTTCGTTTAACTTGCTGAGATTTTTGCTTGGCATCAAATTACATATTCATATTTGCAAATGTTCAACTTTATTGGTATGCCTTGAAACCTTTGGATCGTTCTAAATGGCTACTCGTACGAAAGACTTATGTTTCCAAAAATATAGATGCATTGTTCAAGGAAGATATAGTTGAGTGTTTTTCTAAATATTGTGCCAATGTTGAAATTGGTTGTCATATCTTGAAGCAAGCCTCTACCATGGGTGTCATCGAAGCAATTTACACTTTAGGCATATAATTGCTTCACATAAAAGAGCCTACAAGAAGGATATCAAGTGTTGTCCAACTTAAACCCAATGCATATAATGATGAAGCAAAAAGATTTTTTCCACTATAGAAGCATGACTATCTCAACTATTGCCAAAATTTTCTCGGTTTCGTACATTGAAAAGATTTCACAAACATATTGCTTATGTGATGACACATTTAGAGGTTGTTTTTATTGTTTTTGGGATCGTGAAAGCAATATTGTAATGGGTTTTTTTCTTAGTAGGACTAACTAAATTCAATATGATATTTGTTATAAACATGAACTATAAAAACAACAACCATAAACATTATATTAAACAACAAACTATTAAACATGTCATGAAGCATATCAAACCAACGAACCAGAAATACCACACATCTTTCAGAGTCCTTAAACAATAAATAAAAGCATACACATACACCTAAAATAGTAAATAAAAGCATACACATACACCTAAAATAGACTTTTCTTAATGATGTTACGATTCCCAATTGTCTTTGAAACATGCTTCTGGGTGTTCATCATCTATCTCTGTGTTCCCAAACTCATTATGTTTAATTTGTTGGGTAGTCAAACTCGAAGCATCATCATCAATATCCTCAAACTCTACAAACAAATCCACATGAGATACAAAATGAGAGTAGTATGTCTCAATCATACCACAAAGCTCGACATCATCACTTAAAAGAAACATCTTAAATGATACTGACAATCTACAATATAGAAAAGAGATTCTTTTTTTTTCACCCAAGTTTAATTTTTCTTTATATTTTAAGCTTCAACTCCTCAAGTGAATTTTTGTTGTTGAAAGACATGCTTAAATATTTGCAATAAAAAACATTTGCCCGAATATTAGCCATCATAACTAAATAACTAAAGCTTTTGTCTGAATAGATTAAAATTAGCTTTCACCTCGCATATACACACACATATATATATAGGCCTTAGGAAGTGGTCCTATAAAATGAGCCTACCCAAATATTTGTGTCTTGTTTGTCATTTTTCGCAAAAAGACATTAAACATCATATAAAAACTTACTTTATATAAATACATAATAATAAAACAAAATAAGATGCAAAAACTAGTTAAAAGGAAAAATATTACTTCATATAAATACACAATAAAAAAACAAAATAAGAGGAAAATACATAATATACACATAATAAATAAAAAATATTGTCATGGTTGTTAGATTCATCGATGTCTCTTGGAATGTGTTCCATAGGGTGGTGGTCGTCTACTTCTAGAAGGGTTTCTTCTTATATACTGCTCCTCGTCGTCCTCATTGTCGTCATTCTTATCATCCTCGTCGTCATCATCATCGTCCTCATTTTTCTCCTCATCCTCATCCTCGTCCTCATCTTCATCATCACTCTCTACAACATTGTCTCGAAAAGGGCTGAATGCCGATATATAACCTTTGTAGAATAAGGACCTTGGAGATGTATGACTGACGATCCCACTGCTTGCTGAAAATTGTGAAAATTGTGACAAATCAGACATCGATATCCGTGATGCATACTGCGGTTGAGATGTTTGTGGTAGAGGACCACCCACAACATAATTCATGTATGAGCTAAATGTTGGATCCGTAAGCATAGTAAAAAAATATTTGCTAGTGGGTGTCATAAAACCTTGCGAGCTCTGTGCGTAACGAAACGGTGGTGCATATGAACCGATGAATATGGCATCTGAACTGGATGTGGTGGAATTTGAAAGTTAAGCGGTGTCCTCATATGAATTGGAGGACTAGGGATGTAAATCAGTGTTGCTGGTATGATGGTTCTGGTGGCATAACTGATGATAACCCGGAAGCACATGCTCTTTATCCAATAGTGGGGGAACGATAATGTTGTGATGTTGGATGTTTTTGTGGTGACGATGAATTACTACCCCTCGTGCTTCCGTTGAAAGTAAGAATAGATTCCCGTTTGCGTTGAACCATTTAATATAGCCATCTAAAACCATCAAACCAATTTCTATTATATATTATCAATGAGGCAAGTGTTGATGTCGATTCTCCCATATTGCCAACCACTCTCTATGCTTCACCAACCAATTCACGTATTTATTGCCCCGTATATCGATGTTATGCATATTGTCGAGATTCTTTGGTGCTTTTGAAATAAATTGTGTAAACCCAAACTGACGATGCACACGACCAGTCGAATGCCACTCAACAATAACATAACAATTAAGGGGCATAACTGCAACCCATACATCCAATATCCCACTCAAGTTAGGTGGGATGCAAACCCTCAATTCGTCATCCAAATATGACAACCATTTGAACTAAAACAAAAATATAGGCTTCTTATCAAAGTTAAAATGAGATTCAAATTATATAAATACAACTAAATAAAAAATTAAAATAAAAAATGTACTTCTACACCAGCTTTCTGGTCAATGAGTAATTAGATATCTTGTAATTCTTGTGGGATATCACTATGATTTTTCCTATTATTTGACCACTATTTAATATAAATATATATATATATATATATATGTCATTCTATAATAATTGAAAAAATTATTTAAAAATAAATTTACTATTGATACCTTGAAAATAACGGAAAGACATATGACTCATTCACGATCGGACACAAAAAAGGCATGAGTATCATACCCACGATTAGAGAAGCATGAGAAAACCACCAATAACAGTCTTTTTATAATTTGTAGCCTGACACATTTCTCTAAAAAAAAATGCCAACACCGCAGATCCCCAACTCAATGTGTCAGCTACTTCAAAATCGATCAGGTTCCTCAACCACATACAATGAACCTAATTCCGAGATTTGTCAGACATCAATATACCTCCAATGAGTTATAGTATGCATGCTTTGGGAAAATACTTTTGCCTCTCCCTAAGAACATGCGCAACTCTTTAAATTCACTTTTCAGCCACACTAATGTTATTCGGTCACCATTGAAACTGGACGGACAACTTCCAAGATACTCCCTGCATAAACCCCCAATCATCATCTGCCACACCATAAACGACAATTCCATCGACCGGGAGCCCCAGTTGCATTGAAACATCCTCTAGCGTAATGATACACTCCTCACATGATAGATGGATCGCGTGTGTCTCTGGCCTCTATCTCTCAATTAGTGCAGAAATCAGGACGAGTTCAAGTTTACAACCTCATTCAATTTTTACTAAGTAATCGAATCCAACCATATACAAATATGGTCAGATACCCCTCGATGTTTCCATGTTCTTATTGCGAATAAAAACTTCTAACATACGATTATTTTCCTAACAAATAAATTCTAACCATTAAAATTTAAACTACTATTTCAAAATTATTTAAATAAATTCAAATAAATAAATTCTAATAATTTAAAAAGAATATAGTTTTGTATTCTTACCGTATAGGCAAAATGACTCGAAATATATTCAGTATCCAATTGCAACAACGCGCCTTCCATTTTTCAAATTGCAATTAATAAATAATAACTAATTAAATAAGTCAAATAATAAATAAAAAATAAATACTAATAAAATAATTCATTACTTAAATAATAAAAATTTTAATGAATAAAAAAATAAATTATAAAAACAATTATACCATACTAGATTGAAAATAGATAAGAATAAAAGATATTTAGGTTTGATTTATTTGAATTGGGGAAGGGGTTTATATAGGCAGCCGATTAGGAAAAATAAGCGGAAGAATTTGGGGTGGGAAGGGAAAGGCGCGCCCCATGGATTGCGCCTTCCAGGGTGGTCAGAAAATCCCGATAGAGTGTGCCCTTGGGGATGCACCTTCCAGGGGTATCATCGTTGCCATGCGATTTTCAACTAAGACGTTTCCCACCAACCACGCCTTACCCTCTGATCTTACTAAAGCGTGTTTCATCGAAGGCGTCTTTTTCTTTCAGATGTTAGATCGAGCAATAATAAGAAACGATTACTGACAAGTAATATTTTATTTACATGATAATTTTTTTTGGTAAAAAACCTAATGGTTGCACTGAAAGACATGATATAATAATAGAGAAAATAACAAAGAATAAATAAATTCCAAAATTTAATCTTACAGCTGCGCAAACAGACGAGTGTGATTATTACTTGTTTTTCTGTCTGTGTTCCTATATTTAGCCAAACGCCGACCCGTTTTCTTCGACTTTTCTTTTACATTCTTTTTTTATATTTTTTTGTTATATATTTAAAATTATGTTTTCTTATATTAAAGAACAATTAAAAAATACAAATTAATTTATCTTAATGATTAAAAGAATCATTAATTTTCTTATAGGTCATATATTTGAATACCAACAATAACAAAAAAAAAAATTAAATATTTATTATCAAATAAAAAAAATATGTAGAACAAATAAACAATACTATTTCTAATCACTTTAAGTAATAAAAAAAATCAACAAATTGAAGTTAAAAATTCTTTTTGGGGGATTTCCCATACTTTCAATGACCTTCAGCAAACATTTTCCTTAATTGACTAATATACCCTATGAAACCTTTAATCATTGAAGCACATAGTTTAAAAACATATATTATTGAAAATTTGTACTTTTGGGTAAATAATCTTTTCACTACTAATAATTTTTAAAATACTTAAACTATATTCTAATTGAACCATGTAATTATATTATAATTCGTTAATCACTTTAGAACGATTTTTATATATATTAAAAAATTATTCAATCAATCGAACATTAACATATTATATATATATCTTTTAAGAAAAATCATTTATCTCATGATAACTCCAATGTTCAATGATAATTTTTCACTCTTTGACGTATTATTCGATCGTGAAATCAAAATATGTTCTTCAACAACAATAATTCATATACAAATAAACTTTTTATATTTTAAAACATGAGACATTTGCATGTTGTAATGGGATCCATTTTTGAGATAAACATGTAGTGTAGGTCATGTTATTGGCCAAGCCATTTATGAATTGAAGTGAATTGGTGGCCATTTTCTGTTAGGTTGAAACCTACCCTTATTATTATTATTATTATTTGAGATTTCATATTTTCAGTGCTATAAATTCATTTTAAGCCCTATCGATTGATCCGTTCTTTGCAAAAAAATTAAAAATAATAATCACAATATAATTAATTTATTGTGAATTTTGGGACCATTTAACTAGGTTGGGTCGATTGGAGTGTTTCACTAATTCTATCTTAGGAGAGGTGACTTGTGCCATACAATTAGTGTGGGATGTGACTCCATTGCCTACCCATCCAAATCAATAAGTTTTTGAGTGATATATGGATGAACCATCATAAGAGAGTAAATATTGCTAATCAAAATATGGTTGAACCAACGAATTAAAATTACTAATCCGATTGAGGTTGAACCATTATATATTTCCTCATGTACAAATCCACCCAAAACAACATAATAGACATAACATGCTTGATGTGATTTAAAATTTCTTGTAGAAAGAGGGGCATTCAAACCTTTAGTTTTTACACTTGAAGGTGTATTACTTGTAAGATATGAATGAGTTTTTATGAGGAAAAGAAATGAAAAACTTATCAGATATAAAACGTAATAAATGTTCACAAAAACTCAATATTTTTTTTGTTGTCCTTCCGGTTCCAAGGCTTCGTCTTGACTAATCTAGATCGACCAGCATCGTACACCTGATTTTTGTACTCAATAATTTTTTGGTTGCCCTTCCAGTTCGATCGACTCTCGTCGAATACCTGGTTTTGGTACTCAATATTTTTTTTGGTTGTCCTTTCAGTTTCTTCTCATTGACTAATTCGGACCGACCCATATCGAACATCTGATTTTGGTGGGTGACTCCCCCAACAGAGATTTTTTACATACACAATAACTCAAACTCAAGACTTTGCTTAAGAGATATCAAGTTGCTTACCACTAGAACCAACCTCTGTCGTTTAATAAAAAACTCAATATTAATTTTGAAGAAACATATTCTTTTATGTTAAATACGATTACATAATTTTTTTAAATATTGACAATAAAAGAAGCTTGATTTTTGCATAATAAGTGTGTAGTTATAATTTACTTGTATGGTCCTCTTGATAATGACATACATTAAACTCTCAAAAAAAAATTAAAATTATCGAAAGTAGTTAATTTAAAATTTCAAAACTATTTCTCAATCAAATCAAACATATTTCTTTATTGGTTGAAGTAATTTAAATATATGTGGTATAATCATCTTAATAAATACTATTGAATAAATGCTATAAGAATGGTCACATTTCATGGTCTATTTTTATAAAATGGTTTCAATAAGGATTTGTTAATTTGACCCTTTATGGGTAATTATATTTTTAAAATACTGAAACTTTTGTGATCTTTAAACTGGAAAGCAGAATGGTAAGCACACTGTGCCCTTTTTAAAGTACGGATATGGAAAATGAAATGAAGTGGCTGAGACTCATGGCGCATTATTAGTCTCATCATTAATTTTGTAAAGTCTAAAAGCAAAAACAGTGTTTTAAAGATACCACTATAGCAGTACTGCATAAAATGATTTCTCAGCCAGATTAAAGAATATTAGAAAACGTGAAGAGAGAGTATAAGATTGAAACTCATATTGAATAAGCAT